TTTTGGTGGAGGAACAAAAACTTTAGCCAAACACCCCCACACTTTGAAGTATTTATAACTCGGTTTTCTATCTTTCCATAACTCATAAGGAATGGTATTATTCTTCTTGTGTAGAACTCTATTTAGTATGCGATTGGACATATAAAGAGCTTCCCCCCACAAGTTGTCCGGTAAACCATAATTTAAAAGTAAGATGTTAATCATATCTTTTAAAGTCCGATTTTTCCGTTCAGCTATCCCGTTCGATTGGGGTGAATAAGGGTGCAGTGGTTTGATGAATTATTCCTAAATCAACACATATTTCTGCAAAAGGATATTCATATTCTCCGCCTCTATCGGATCTCAGAATTTTTATCTTCTTATTCAGTTAGTTTTCAACTTCAGCTTTGTATTTCACAAATACATCTATTGCTTCGCTTTTATTACTAAGTAAATAAACATAGCAATATCTAGTACAATCATCGATAAATGTGATGAAATATTTTTTACCACCTCTAGTTGGTATCGATTTAAAATCGCACAAGTCAGTATGAATTAACTCTAGCGGTTTTGAGCTCCTTTCAATTGAATGAAAATGTTGTTTAGCGAACTTTGCCTCAACACAAATTTCACATTTGTAAGATTTACCGAAGTCTAATTTTGGAATTAATCCCAAATTGACTAACCTTTTCATTTTATGAAAATTAACATGACCTAATCGATCAAGCCATAAAATGGGAGACTCAAGTATGTAAGCAGAAGAAGCATTCTCATTAATAGCTTTATTTTATCCGATAACGGCTACATTAACCTTAAACAGGTCATCACATAAGTAGTCTTTTCCTACATACATCTCATCTTTGGTCAGAACAAATTTATCCGACTCAAAGATCATCTTAAACCCCTTTGCAATTAGGGTAGAAACAGAAATTAAATTCTTTCTAGTGTCCGGCACATGGAGCACATCATTCGAGGTAATGTCTTTTCCAGAAGTGAATTTTAGGATCACTTGACCTTGTCCTTCAACCATCGAATGGGCGTCATTTCCCATGAAGAGCTTTTGATCGCATTCTAACTTCTTGTAAGAAGAGAACATGCTCTTATCATAGCAAATATGACGAGTAGCCCCCGTGACTACACACCAACCTTTAGTATCGCTCATGACGTATGCTTCAGATACAAGGACAACACTCTTGAATGTGTTCGATAGATCACCTGCTCCAAAAACCATGTTTGAAGCCATCTACACAAATTTCAGATTCACAGGAAAGTTTAAACGAAAAGAATTTTAAACTCGAGAGCCAAGATAATTTGAAGATAATTCAAGTCAAACAATGTTCAAATCAAATATTTTGTACTTAAGAATATAAGTAATTAAGTATTATATACTTTAATCTCTCAAATAACAGTAATAGAATAACATTTATTTAATAAACAAACATAATAGATTTGAATCAGAAATATCAATTGATTATTCAAAATAATATCAGTTTCACACAGAACCATACAACTCGTACATATAATACATAATAAAATTTATAACTATAGGCACAAGTCTTCGCAAGAGAATAAAACACATTAATAAATCAAAATCTTGATAGCAGATTTCAGATTCAAAATTACTTTATAAAAACTTTTGCAAAACGTTTAAGGAAGGCAAAAGTAATTTATAATTTAAAATAGTAATTACCTGTTATAATATGCAAATATAAACGCATACATATATTTTAATAACATATGTTGATTTAAAAATAAAAACACATTCAAACTTTTTACAAAAGTTTGGACAAACAAATATAAATTACGTAGAGGTTAACAAATTGAAACTTTATATTGTCTTAAGATTGTTGGTATAATTATAAATAACAATCTGCATAAACGAAAAATACTTACTTGTTTGTGGAAAAGAGGAATTGTGAAAAACACAAAGAACAACCGAGGCTTGCCAAAGCAATTCCCTTAAGCCAATATTTTCGGGCTGTCAACGGTGCACATTCTCTTCCCGGTAGTCTCCCAAGGTACAACGATCGGTTGTCAAATATTTGCACGAATATTTGACCCACGGCGAACTTGAACAACGAAGGAAACTTTGACGAAGGAAAAGAAGAATATCAAGAACTATCTCTTAATCGTCAATTAAATTCAGTAAAGAACTGGCCCGATTCTGCCTTTATTTATAGGCGGTAGAGATCCATTTGTAGAGGGTTGCAATGGTTGGAACAAGAAACAGAAAGTTGTGTATGTTCTTTTCACCGAGTTCAAGAGTAGGAAAATTAATTGGTTATCGGCCAATTAATTAATTAATTTGGTTTGGGTCAAATATTTTATTATTTGAATTTTGGTTCAACTAATTTGACTAACTACTAAATGTTCCCAAAAGTAATATTTGTGGACACCTAAACCCAAACTAGTCATATCACTCGATCACATCGAGAGCACATCTTTTGAACTTTAACCATTTACTCAAGACAATTTTCATTCACTTTACTTCATGATTATGATCAACTAAATAAATGAAATTAATCTTTTCATAATTTAATTAATATTACTCAATATTAATTATTGGAAATCATGAAAATTCCAACATTAGTCTCTCTCAAGTGATGCAAAATTTCCTTCGACTTAACATGACTATTTTTCAATAACTTCACTTCTCGTTGCTCTTGACTCAAACGACTTAACGAACGTATTCCTTGTGGATATCATTACAAAAATGATTATGATTGCTATCTTTGATGGTAAGTCGTCATAATCCATTACGATCCTCTTTACCCCATAGCGCAAAAGGGCACATGCACTTCATTGAACTAGACTTCCGGCTTGTTACGACATCAAAATTTTTTCTTCGTCCTTTATATCCCTTTTACACGTCAAATATTGTCTGCGTTACGTTCGTGGAAAGAATGACGTCTAATCTCATGACCATGACTGACGGCCATATTCATTGCCCACTCAACCATATCTTTACTCTCAAATGCAGTTGAATTTATGAGAAAATAATTGAAATCATGTAACTCGAATGTTTCCGTATGTTCATCAATATTTATGTATACTTTCTGATTTCAGATAAATATAGTTAGCAAAATATTAAAATAAAAAATAAATAAAGTATTTGCGTAAATTCACTCGAGAAACTTCTCAGGTCTCGTGTCTATTCACGCGACCATTGACAAAGGTGATCGTGTGAATTCACATGATCACATATATATATATATATATATATATATATATATATATATATATATATATATATATATATATATATATATATATATTCATTTGTCCGTGTGGTTTTACAAGACCACATACCATGTGCTCGCGCAAAACCACACGAACTCAAGAAAAAAAAATCATGTGTTCATGTGATATTACACGAATACGTGGCATGTGGTCGTGTAAAATCACACAGACACATGCATTTTCGAGAAAATAAAAATAAAAACGTTACCTCTAGGTCTATATTCGTTGGATCACTTTTACAAATTGTTGAATATCTCAATTTTTTGGACTTGAATGTTGAGATTTGGGTTTTGTAAAGATTTATAGAGTTTGGTGAAAAAAATGTAAAAATGTGAAAATTTATTAAAAATGTAAAAAAATATGGTAAAAAAATATATGCACACCAAAAAAGTGCATGAGCATATAACCACCCAAGGAACTTAAAACCCCTTCTTTATGTTATATCTATTTTCGTATTCCTTGACTCCCATCAAAAGCTAAATGCCCTTCATACCGCAAATCAGACTTCTTTCAAGATCTTTTGGGGCGTTCTCCATAATAGTTGGTCTTCTTTAAGCTTTTCAAAAAATAATTGCGTTTCCCATCAAGAATTGACCATGTTAGCCAATTTGCACACTACCATTTCAAAATTGGCAAAGTTCACCCTAGAATTGTATAAGAGTCAGTTTGGCTGAGCTTATTTAAAACATCTTATAAACTCCTACATATGATAAGATATTTTAGGAGTTGATAAGCCATTAGATCTTATTTTAAAAATTAATTTTTAAGGTGTTTGGATATGTAACCTATAAGTTAATTTTAGTTTTTATAAGTTGTTAAGGTGTTTGGAAATAAAAGGTCTGTTTATCGCTATAATGACAAAAAAGTACATGAAGCCATTATAATTGTCAAACTAATTCGACTTAAATAATTTTGTTCCTAAAATGTTTATTATAATAGTATTTACAAATTAATTTTTAAAATAAAAATAATAATATAAAATTATATATTAAACAAACCAAATATTTTTTTATGTATGTTGATATGACATTTGACAATTTTTTAAAATAAAATGAAGTGTAATAAAATATTTTAATGAAACAGATTTGTGAAAGTTTTAATTTTGCCCCATTAATATATTAATATAGAATAAAATAAAGGTTGTACAAGAAATATATTTTTTTATAGCTAGATAAAAGAAATATAATTTATTATTGAGATAATAAGAATATTCGGGTATTTTTATATACATATAAAATATAAATAGAGAATAATTTTTTTTACAATTATTATGATAATTATATTTTAACTAGTTATTAATGTTGATTACAAGAATACGATGTTTTGATAAAAAAAAGTAAATGTTATTAGTATTCATGTAATATAATAAAGTATTTGAGGGTAATTTTGTATTTTGAGTGTTTTAGTAAATAAGCAAATAAGAACTTAAAGAAAAAATGTGGGGTGGAAGTATTTTTTTTAAAACATCTTATAAGCTCGCTAACAACTTATTTTTGGAAAAAATAAGATATTTTCTAATTTTTTTTACCAAACACTTTTTAACAACTTATAAGCTCTTAAGTATCTTATAAGATGTTTTTAGAAACTTATAAGCTTAGCCAAACAGACTCTCAATCATGTCAGCATTGCACTCTACATTAATTTATTGTGAGATTTAAAAAAAAAAAACAATATTTTATAGCGAAATGCACCCTAAATTTGTTTTTTCCCAAAATAAAAATAAGAAAAAGTACCAAAATGCTTCCAAACGTGGCAAATTCAACTTGCACAAAAGCAAACTTTTAAGGGCATTTACCCGTTTGGAGGTTGAGTTGGAAAAAAGGAAAGGAATAGACGAATAGTTCATATTTTTATTTACACGACGACTCCTCAATTGATCGTTCCTCTAAATATTCAATTTCTACCCATCATCATAAATCTCAAACAAATCCCTAAAAGAGAAACCCCAAATAAAAGAGAGGAGAATTTGTGAGATGGGTTGCTTTGCTTGCTTCGATGGAGGAAGTAAGCAGCGCCGCCGTGAAGAGGAGCGTTTGTCCTCTGAAGAAGCCCGCGCTAGAGCCGCCGAAGCTGCCCAGAAAAGGTCCCCTTTTTTATTTCCTAATTATTTATACCTTTATCTTCGATTTCTATTACCTGTTCGATAAAAACACAAGATTGAATTTTTTTTTTCTTTAATCGTAGTGGGTGACCTCAATTGCAGTTTTCCCACACTCTGTAATCCTTTGATTTTTACAGGATTTGGCTTTGATTCTGAATTGATTGATTTGAATACGATTCGTTTGTGTATGCGTGATTTAGTTCACTTTAACAGTTTTGTCAAATTACGAAAAGATTCTTCTTATTCGGGTAATTACAACCACCATCGGCAATGAATCTTCTTACACGTCCACACTTATGGTGTCAAATTCAACATAATCTTCTAATTTCCTTGGAATGTTCTATAGTTTGTATTCGTTTTGTGCAAAAATACAGCTTCTGTTGCACCACAACAATCTGATATTTACAAGCCACGAGACACATCTTGTTTTATAATGTTTAGCTCGAATGAGATAAAACAGGTTGAAACTGAAGAATATTCTACAAAATTAGAAGACTGCACTAAATTTGACACCGTTAGAGTGGACGTACATGAAGATTCATAGTTAACGGAGTGGTTCTAATTACTCAAATAGTAGGGGGTTTTGTAATTTGACCTTATCTCAAGGGGTGGCCGTAATTTACCCTTACTTGTATGTTTCTCCTTCATGATTGGGTGTTCTAACGGTTAGTTCAGTATAAAAGTGGTTGAGCAAAATGATGTGAGCTCATATATGATTTGTTTTCCCCTTTGTGCTTTTGCCCTTCTGCTTGTGCTTGTTCAGAAAATATCATTTACAGCTAAAGTAATTTCTGTGTTCGTTGTAATTTTCAACCAGCAACAAACTTTTATGGGTAAATAGCACTTACAACCCTGTAGTTACAAGCTTTTGCAAATTATCTCTTGTGCTTGTAATATTAGCACATAACCCTCTTGTGGTTTATGGGGTAGCTTCCGATTGTTTTTCCGTCAAATTTAACTGCATTGTCAAATTTCAAGGGGGGCATCTGGAACAATGAAGGGGAAAATGTAAGTAGAAGGGGATCATCTACAAACGAATTGTTTTGACGTTTGACACATGCGGTTAAGTTTGACGAAAAAACTAGCGGAAGCTACCCCATCAACCACAAGGAGGTTATGTGCTGATATTACAAGCAGAAGGGGGTCATTTGCAAAAAATTGTAACCACGTGGGTGTTGGGGTGTTAAGTGCAATTTACCCAACTTCTTGTCTTGTTTGTTTTTAAGTCTAACGCTATACGGATAAGATAGAATACGAGTGAGGTAAGTGCGTGGGAACTAGATATCGAGGAATTTATATGCGGATTGAGGTAAATGTTTCCAGTTGTAAGGATCTGGACTGGAAGTTGTATTTTTCTATGCGGATATTGATGAAATTATTTAACTGGAAAAAAAAATGTTATAATCTACAGTCCAGATCGGTATATAACTTTTCTTGCACGAGTGCTTCAGGAACCTTAAATGGAGTTCGAAGGCTACATTTTTTTTTTTTGTCTTGTTTGAAAAAAAAGATGGTGAAGATATAGTTAAGAATAAAAGGTTTGAGCTTTTGGCTCGAAATATTTTAAAGGTTTCGTAATTGCGTTTCAAGATTCAACTTGTTTTGTGGAACCGAAAAAATCTGAAGCCGTGTCATTTATTAGAAGATAAAAGTCTGTATTTTTATTGGTGTGGATAATCTCCTAAAGGAAAGGATTTTATGAGAGCTGTCGTTTTTTTGCTGAAAGAACTGGAAAAACTAAATCACTATATATTTTATAGAAACGAAAAACCTTAAGATAGCCTCTTTCATGCATTGTGCGGATCACTTACAGAACGGTGAAGTTAATTTCTAGTTTTCGATGAAAAGTGCAATTAGACAATAGTTCATTTGGTCTTGCATACTTCGAATGGAAAATATGACGCTTTTACCTGAATATTTGACCAAGAATCAATTACTAAAAAAATAATCACTTTGTTCGAACCTCGTCGTAAGTATATCAAGTGGCCCCTCAAGTGCTTTTCTGAAGGATAAGAAAGGCCATTTTCGTTAAAGTAAAAAGCATATCTATAGGACGTCTTGCATGTTACTAATATTTTGTGGAAATTTGCTTCTCGGAAATTACTGCAAATTTTATTCTTGAATATAAAACTAATTTGTACTTCCGCAACCGTAATTGCAGACAAGAGGAATTTGACAAATCTGCAGCAGGGCGAGCTGCAAAAGCGCAGATAGCAGCTATCGCTAAACAAAACGCTAACACCAACAAAGGCGAACCAGCTCTAAAGGTATTTTTCTCCTAGTATTAGGTTCTTGATTATGATTATTTTTCATCGTCTTAATTTTTCTTGTTTTTTTTTTTATTTATTTGAAATTCAGTGGTCCGATTTGTTGAAACTTGTTTATATTTCCTTTTTGCTCAACTATCTATAATTTCTTTTGCACTTAGAACGAAAATAATACTCCGGCAACAATGCTACGAGTTTATCAATTTTGGTTTTTATTTTTTTATTTTTTTGTAAATGCAGTGGCAGATGGGATGAGGGTGACTCTCCATTGCTAGACTTTGATCGCACAATGTAAGTACGAATATTTTCATTTTTCATTTTAGTTATATGTGCTATCTTCCTTGTGGTTGTGATTTTTGTTCATTGTTTCAATAGTATGGCAATTGAAGATAGATTTTGTTTTTCAAAAAAATATGGAAAAAAGAACCATAATGACGGGATTCTAACTTAGAATTGGGGCATGTTTTAAAAAAAAAAAATATGCTCTATGTTTTACAACTTAAATTTATGTTAAAAAAAAGGGTACATGAGGTAAGGTTAAATTACGAAAAAACTCCTCTTGTTTGAGTAATTACAACCACCCCTTAACTATGAATCTTCTTACACGTTCACCATTGCAGTGTCAAAGTTAGTGGAATCTTCTAGATTATGTGAAATATTCTCCAGTTTGTACCCATTTTACCCCATTCGAGCTCCACATTTTGAAACAATATGTGTCTCTTGGCTTGTAAATATCAGATTGTGGTGCATTTGAAACTGCGTTTTCGTACAAAATGAGTACAAACTAGATAACATTTCACGTAATCTAGAAGATTATGTTGAATTTGACACCATAAGAGTCGACGTGTAAGAAGGCTCATAGATCAGACGGGTTGTTGTAATTATCCAAAATGAGGGGTTTTTTCGTAATTTGACCTTAGCTCAGAGGGTTGACCGTAATTTACCCTTGTTTCAATAGTATGTCAATTGAAGATAGATTTGGTTTTTCAAAAAAGAGAACATTGATTTGAATATCACCTATTTTGTTTTTCTTTTCTTTTTAATTTTTACAATTGATAGAACTTCCGTTATTTTCGTTTCAAATCTTGATACTTGGTGGTGTAATGCGAATGCATAATATTATTTTGAATTCATATTCGTATCTTGAAATGTTGAAATGCAGTTGTTATGATAAATTTCTGTGCGGAATTTTATCTTTGCAGATTTCGTGAACAACTATGGCGGGACCAGTCGATAAGCATCTTTAATACAAGGTTGTGTGTGTAAAGGAGTTGATAAAGCTTAATAAGTTGTCCTTTTTTTTTCTCTTCTTTATTTATTGATCTCTTGGCTAATTGTGTGTGTGTCTTTTGTGTTGAGACACTGTATGTAACTTGTGTATATATATATTTGATGAAAAAATGCATCACTGTGAAGTATACCTATAATACCCCTGATTCCATAAAGCAATATTTCATTGTTTCAAAACATATTTATTTATGCGAGTCTGTTGGAGACAAATTATAGGGTTCTATACAAGTACACTTCATGAAATACACTAGATATTTGTTTATTTATAAAAGTTAGTGGTGTTTGCTAGATATTTTTTTATTTATAAAAGTTAGTGGTGTTTGCTATTTCTTCAAATAGCTAATGTAGAAGCTTCACTCTTTTCAAATAAATTTTAGTTTAGTTTATTGTTTTAATACTTAATATATCCTAATAAATTGAAAAGGGTTTTTGTGCACAAGTCTTCAACTAAGTATTTTTATTATCCTAGGTTTAGGGGTTATATCTCATCCATCAATAAGCTCATCCCTTTAATATTTATCATAAATAAAGGAAACATTCATGTATTTGACAATATTACCCTCAACCCTTTATACATAATTCTTAATTGTAACCCCAATTTAATCAATTTTGTCCACAAAAATTCCATTTTGACTTTTTTTTTCAAAAAAAAAAAAATATTTGCGGCCGGATTCCGGCGTTGACTTTTCGAATTTTTTTTTTCTTCCGGATTTTTTCGCCGGTTTCCGGCGTTGACCTTTTTTTTTTTTTTTTTTTTTTTTTTTTTTTTTCTGGTCTGTTTTTTCCGCCGCCGGATTCCGGCGTTGACCGTAATTATATTACTGTCGTTGACAATAAAATAACTGTAAACACAATCATATTATTGTCAACAACATCAATATTATTATTTTTTTGGGTTTTTTTGTTCTGTTTGAGTTATTCACGGAGTAACGTAATAATATTACTGTCTATTATTGTAATATTACCGTGTATTATTGTAATACTACTGTAAACACAATAATATTAATGTGGTTGACGGTAATATAGTTAATTTTACTGTATTTAACAGTAATATAGTTAATATTACTGTCAATCACAGCAATATTGTTGTTTAAACGAAAAAAAATCGAAAAAGTCAGCCGAAAACCGTGTGACGGAAAAATCAGGAAAATATAAAATAAAATTGAAAACTCAACGCCGGAATCCGGCTGCAAAAAAAAAATTGAAAAAAAAAAAATTTTAGGTCAAAATTGAATAATTTGTGAAATTTGGGGTCAAAATGAGGTTATATTAAATTAAGGATGAAATTGGAGCATATTAAAGTATGAGGAGCTAGTTTAGACTTTTACAAAAATCTGGACCATGTGTGGACTTATTTGTAAATGAGTTTTTCGTCTGGATCTCTTTATGAATAAATACCCATTAATTGACTTATTTTAAAGATCCCTAAATAGAATTTATATAAAAACATGAAGAGTACAACTTTCAATTTATTATTAAATTTTCAACTTTGAGCAACTGATTTAGAAGTAAATTTTTTATCTATTTTATAAATAAAATCTTAAATATATATAAAATAGATTTATATAAAGAATAAATTCTATAATAAATCATTAAAATTCTCTGAGACCAAAAAACTCATAAAAAAAATTCTTAGACCATAGCTGTTGCATTGTTGCTTATGTCATCGTATCTTTCAGGGCACTTTATAAATAAATCCGTCAATGGTTACTTATTCATAAAGATGTCTGGACAAATTTTTTTTTTACAAAAATATCCACACATTGTCCAGAAGTTTGTAAAAGATTAAAATAGCCCTCACATTTTAATATGCTTCAATTTCATCCTATAATTTAATGTAACCTCAATTTGACCCCAAATTTCACAAATTATTCAATTTTGACGCAAAACACAATTTTGAGTACAATTTCGTCCATCGCCGCCGCTGACCACTAGTTTATGGCGTTGACTTTTTTTTTCTTCCTGGTTTTTCCGTCGGTCTCCGCCGGTGACTTTTTCGATTTTTTTTCTTCTTTAACATCTTTTTTCCCCCGTTTAGACAACAATATTGCTGTGGTTGACAGTAATATTAACCATATTACTGTTAAACACAGTAATATTAACTATACTACAGTTAAACAAAGTAATATTGTTATATTAATCTATAGCACAGTAATATTAACACGACAAAAGTTATTATTATTGTGTAATAGAGTGATATTAATATGTTGACCGTTCAACAAAGGTAAACATAATAAAAAGCCAAAAGAGTTAATATTTATGTGGTTGACAGTAATATTACTGTAACAACAGTAATATTACCGTCAACCACACTAATATTATTGTATTTACAGTAATATTACAATAGTAGACAGTAATATTGTTACTGCGTCAGCAACCCAAACAAAACAAAAAAACCAAAAAAAATAATAATATTGATGTGGTTGATAATAATATTATTGTGTGTTTACAGTTATTTTACTGTCAACGACAGTAATATAATTACGTTGACTTGTAAAGAAATCAAACAAAATAAAAATAAATAAATAAAAGACAAAAAAATAATAATATTGTCGCTGACTCTAATTGTACTGTCAACGACAATAAAATTACATAAATGCACTGTTAAAGACAGTACAATTACGTTAATGTACTTTCAACAACAGTATAATTACGTTAATGTACTGTCACTGACAGTATAATTAGTATTAATGAAAATACAATTACGGTCAACAGTTAGACATAAATTGAATATTTTAAACATAATGAGGCTAATTTTATGTTTTTTGGTTTTTTAATTTCCAGTGTGCAAAATAACAAATTCAATTATATTTTTTTACCTCAAACCTAATTTTGAGCGTGAGGCCAAAAAAAAAAAAAAGCCACACGACACACACTGAAGTACTTAAAAAATATATTGTAATTTTTTCTCACTAAATTCTTCGATTGATAGATCTTTTATTATAATTGGTGAAATGTTTAGTAGAAGTCTTTGGAATAAAATATAATTTTCAACTAACTTGATGACAAAATAGTTGAAGGATTTTTATATTTTTTTTATTATTTGTAAAATATGTTTTTGTCATAAAAAAATATAATTTTTAAATATGATGAGGATATGAATTTTCATTTTTGCACTTTTTAGTTTCAAAAGGATTGATGAATAAAAAAAATTTAATTTGACATTTGGTTTCTTAAAGAAATAGCACTAAAAATATTAAATTACCCTCATTAGCTTTAAAAATTCATTGAGGGTGCTTTATGCATGATTTATTGTTTTGAGGGTGCAACGTGCATTTAATTTTTTTGAAGGGTACAAAGTGTCGAAATGTAGGTGCAAAATGAGGTTAAGCCAAATATTTGCGACACTAAAAAAAAGGTGAAAAAAGGGGGGAAAAGAAGGTGAAAGTGTTACAATAAGCTAAATTCCTTTCCCTTCATTTGCATGTTTTCATTAAAAAAAAAATTACAGTCATCTGTACAAAGTCGATTAACAAAAAAATCGAGCACGGTTAAATTTCCCAATATTCATAAAAGTTAACAACCGTGTTTGTCGAATCAATACATGGTTTTTTCTTCGTTTTTTTAATTTATTTACTTAGCTCGATTGAAAGCTTTGAACGGGAGCAGATAGCTTGAGCTCATGAGCAGCTTGAAACGAATCCGCAGCTTGCTCAAATAATCCTTCAATCTTATAAATCTTCCCTAAATTAAACCAAGCGTCGTGATTCGTCGGCTCCAAACGAACCGCGTTCATCAAAAAGCTCTTTGCAATTGGAATCGACTTTTTATTCCCCATCTTCATTAATGTCTCCGCGGTCGAAATTATACTCGGCACGTAATCGGAATCTATCGATAAAGAAACCGAGAAGGCAACTATTGCTTCTTTATATTGCTCTTGGGCTTCAAATAGTCTACCTGCAAATCATTTCGACAAACTCAGTTTTTGCAAAGTGAAATATTATCAAATCATACCGATCGGATCGGAATTAGCACTTCCGGAAATATCCTGATTTTTTTTATTTTTTTTTAAGTGAAAAACGTCTTCCAATTCTGCTCTAACAAAAATTGGAAATTGGGATTTCGAAAATTTAAATGAAAAAAATTGTTGCATAATAGACAATTTCGGATCGGAATCGGCAAAATTCGGAAATTTTCAGTTTTCTATTAACCTAAAATATACATAATAATAATATTTAAAAGTGTACTCAGAAATCAGAATCTCATTTATATTCCAATTACGATCACAAAAAAATCAAAATTTTCGTAATTACGAATGAAAAAAAAAACTGTTCCAAAATCCGGAAAAAATGAATCGGATCAGAATCGGAGGAAATCAGAAATTTTGTTCCAAGTTCCGGAGAAAAAATCGTAGCTCCGCCACTACTATATAGATAGTACAAATCAATTATTATTAGTAAACACACGAGGATTGATAAAAAGGGGTTATCAAACCTGTAGTGTGCCAACTTCGAGGCGAGTAAAATTGAATCGACCTTGCTTTTTTAATGCAAATATCCGAATCGACCCATAACTCGTGCTCCGAATAAAGTCCGGCCAAATCTAACCATGCTTCTAACTCCAATCTTCTCTCACCTACTATTACCTGCCAATACGAAGATAACAAAAAATACAACAATTAAAAACGAAAAAAAAATAATTATTTTACGAAAAAAATAAATAAATAAATAAAAGGTGACTTTACGAAAAAGTATTATCACACACCTCATTGGTGTTTCCCTGAACTAGTGACAGCAAAATCCTATAAGTCTCGATGGCTCGTTTCGGTTGCTCTTGAGCGATTTGAACAATCGCTTTCAACCTCAAAAGCTCGAGCTGGTCGATATTTCCCGTTTCATCCAATGCAACATCAACTATAGCTTCGGCATCTTTCAATCTCTGCTCCGCCGAAGCAATAAGAGCCAATAATTTCCAAACCTTGACCGAACTCCCGCCGCTCGTTTTCGAGTACACCATCGCTCGGTCAAACGCCAAAGTCAAATTCCTCTGCACAGCATTTTCCATCCCTAAACAAAAAATAATCTCCGGGTCCTTACAAGTACGGTTCAACGAGTCAATCGACTCTCTATGTAAACGAACTCTCTCGAAATCCGAAACCGAAATTCTCGCCAAGTTTCCATAGCACAATCCAAGAAACTTATGGGCTTGGCTAACGATATGGTGCTCGTTTTTGCCCAACGGAGCATTAATTACTCTATGCGCGAAATTTATCCCTTCTTTACATTCGTTCGGATCTTGAGAGCATAATTTTGCTCCGAGCAAGAACGAGGGCAAATGGGTTTTTTTATTATTTTCCGAAAATCCCGACACTTTCTTTAGAAGGTTGAGTGCCGTTCGATTGTCACCCGCAGCACTATAACAAAGCGCGAGAAAATACCATCTCTCGACTCGATTATACACACCCGGAAGAACTTGCTCCACGTGATTTGCCAAGTACTCGAACTGCCCGGAAATTGAGAGCGCGAAAGTCAAATGATCCATAATTTGTGGGTCCCACGCAATTTCACAATGCAGAATCTTGTGCATGAGTACGAATAATAGGAGGATGGATTCTTCGATGCCGATGCCGGAGTAGAGGAGTGTGGAGGCTAAGTCCTTTTGAAGTTTGGCGAGCCTTTGCGGGTGCAAGTTCCAAGGTTTGAGGAGAGCCCTTCGGTAGGCTGTGACGGATTCGTCTAGGTGACCCGCGTGTAACCATAGCGTGGGGAGCAGTTCAAGTGCAGTGTGGAACGTTTCAAGCAATTTGGTGTCTTGGTTGATGTTTTGGTGCGTGCCGTTTGGCAGAGCTGATTCGACTGTGTCCAATATTAGCTTGCACTCTTTCGCAGATTCTGTCGCAATTTAGAAAGAGAAATACAGTTAAACCTCTATAAATTAATACAGTCGGGACCAGCAAAATTCTATTAATTTAGCGAAATATTAAATTATCGAGCTAATAATTTAATACTTTTTCAACGAGTCGGGACCGAGAAAAATATTATTTAAGCGATGTTATTAATTTATCGAGGTTCAACTGTATACATAATTAATCAGAAGCAACGTTTAGCAAAATTCCCCCTGAATTCAATTTTATTATAAAACGACCCCCAAAAAAACACCGTTTAGGGGGGTTGTGTGCTAAAAAAAATGAATCGTAGGGGTATTTTGGTAGTATTTCTAACACCATAATTTTTTCAGGAATTCGGTATAACGCAAGGGTACTTAAAAGAAACACTCGATTTCTTTTATTAGCGTAAAAACCGCATGATCGAATGTCGGAGACAAACATAACGATACGATCTCATGGGAATCTCAATATTTGATACGAAAAAAAAAATGTAAGTTGTATTTAATGATAAATTTCGAACTCAAGAACTCGAAAATCGTCTTCCAATTAGATGGATAATTAACTACCTAATTAAATAACTAGAGTTATGTTCCAACGCATGAAAGTAAATATCGTACATAAATTAAGAATCATAACACGTGATCGGACCCGTTGGAGCTCATTGTTTACGTTAAAATAAAAACAACATAGAAATTTATTTAGCAATTCGAATAAACACGAGAGCAAAGTTAAAATAGATGCTACATTGCACGAAAACACTAATGCTCAAACAAAAAAAAAAATTCGGAATCGAGGGGAATATACCTTTAATTCGACCAAGCTCGGCTAAAGATTTGGATTTAAGCAGAATTGCTTCAAGAAGTAGGCTGACTGAATGAAGTGACATTGAAGCAGAGAGTTTTACATTTCTGCCCCTGGACCGTGATTTTCGGGGGCGAGTTCCTTCGGCAATGGCTTTCGACATTCTCGGAGACAACAGTTTGATGTCAATCCCTTGAAAAACTTGAAGGGCAGCATCGTAATTACCCTTTTGGTACTCAAGCCTCCCCAACAATGCTCTTGCTTCCTAAACAAATATATTGACAAGAAATTAGAAATTATATAAACAAGAGAGAGAGAGAGAGAGAGAGAGAGAGAGAGAGAGAGAGAGAGAGAGAGAGAGAGAGAGAGAGAGAGAGAGAGAGAGAGTAGAGAGAGAGAGAGTAGAGAGAGAGAGACCTCATAGTTTAAAGAAAGTGCCTCCTTCAAGGTGGACTCGGCTTCGTCAACTTGAGCATCTTCCAGCTTGGATTCCCAATCAATGGTGGAAGAAAGGCCGCTTACTGAGAAATCCCTCGTCGCCAGGGATTCCGCCGGAGAATGTGGCGGCGCCGCCGCCGCCGCCTCCTCAGTTTTGAACTGCTCTCCGGAACAAGCACACAACATTTTTTTTTCCCCGAAAAAAATATAAAAAAGAAGAATCACCTTTCACTTATTTCTTACAAGAAAACCATAAACATCATAATTTTGAATTCTTTAATGTAGTACAAATTTAAAACCAAGATTCAAAGAACCCATAAATGAAAACAAAACTATACTACAATTTGAAAAAAAAAAAAAGACGATAAAAGTGAACAGAAAACAGAAAACAGAAAGAGATTTCAGCTTTGGGGTTATCAAAAAAAAAAAAAAGCTTTTACATATTGACTTTGATTAGACAATGGCTACGGTTGTGAGTTGTGATCGTTGATGATGTTTCTTTTATGGAGATCTGAGTTTTGAATTTGATGGGTCGTTTTAAATGAATTTCCATTATTGCAAAAGAAAATAAAAAAAAAATGTTTTTGTTTGGTAGTCAATTGTTTGGTCTTTGATGTGTGTGTTGTGTTTTCAGAATACGCAGCTGTCTCGAGATATACAGAGAGATTCTCTCTGTTTTTTCTGCTATGTTCTTTTCGGGTTTGAGGTTTTTTTGTTTTTTGTTTTTTCTTTTTTCTTTTTAATAGATAATGTGTAAAAATTATTTGAACAAAAATAATGTTATTCAAGTATCATTTTGAAGTATTTAATGCAAGACTTTTTTTTTTTTTTGATAATTATTTAATGCAAGACTTACTCCCCTTATTATTAATAAATTCAATAATAAAATTTTAACTTTAATGGCATGCCATTTTTTCTTCCAAAGTTCCAATCATTATGATATACAGTTAAACCTCTATAAATTAATACTGTTGGGACCATCAAAATTTCATTAATTTAGCGAAATATTAACTTATCGATAAATTAATAATTATTAATTTATACATTAATTAATAAATTATTAATTTATGAAATCACTTTTATTATTATTTTCAATAAATATATTTTTTAATTTTTTTACGTGTATATTATTCATTGTACCATTAGTTCAATGCATTATAGAGCCCGTTTCACGAATGGAAGCTCTTAAAGCAGCAATGGTATAGTACAATTTTATGTTGAGTTATGAGAAAACTATACCGAAAGTTCTAACCATGTTAAGAAAAGTGAGGGACGAGATTGATGGTAATGTGAACTTCAACAAAAAACAAGCAACAATTAAATTATATTGTATTAAGCTTTCATAGATATATAAATATGTACTATACCATGTAATTTAAGAATTATTTTTATGCATTATTAATTTATATATTATATGGGGCTTCTTAAATTTTTCGAATGTGTATTATCTTATAAATTTAGCGAATTATTAATTTAGCACGTTGTCCCCAAGTCGGGACCGGGAAAATTTATTATTTAAGCGAGATTATTAATTTATCGGGTATTAATTTATCGAGGTTCTACTGTATATATGACAAAAGTTTACACTAACAATGAAGGGAAACAAAAAATTGAAATTAAACTAAAATTTAGATTTGTTTTCTGCATAAATTACAATTTTGAAATGATAAATTACATATTCACCATTTATTTAATAATCATGAGAATAAAAAATACAGTGTCGTTAAAATTAAAAACTTTATTATTAAGTTTATTAATGAAAGGAATAAGTGTTATATTTGATACTTCAAGGGAATAAATGTTATAATCGTTTATACTTTAAGGGTGCTAACTGCATTTAACGACAATATTTTAAGATACGAAACCATCTCTTTAGTTTATGCATTTATTAATTGATTTTGCACGTGAAAGATAAGTTTGATCTGGAGTACACCCTGTAATAGGACATGTCTTGTTCTGCAAGATGAATATGGAAAAAGTGTAAAGCATTATGTCATTAATTAAGTTTTATAATTATTGAAAGAAATAAAATTGTTATGAATTCTATAATACGGCCACCAATATTAATGACCATTATTCACCACTGTTAAAGAGTTGTAACTCATATCTTTGAGTGGTATTTCTTATCAAAAAGCCGAAATTTCTCGTCCCAGGACTCCCATTCATTGGCTCGACAAGAGAATAATATACTTGTTTCTTTTTTCTATATTGCTATTTCAATTCTTTTTCGCTTTGTTCTTTCTTTATTAGTTTCTCAACACGTTATCAGCACGATTATTCTCTTCTAATTTTCGAGCAATGATGATTCAAAGAGGATAACATATCGGTCACATATGAAGAACATGGAGTTGATTTTAAATATTTTATTCTTGTTTTGAGTTAACGAAAAATTAACAATTCTATTTTTGTTGTAGGTGAGTTTTCGCACAATTCACAATATCAGAATTTGAGTTCGAATTCGGGCCTGATTATGTCCTGATGTTGAGAAAGTGTAAAACACAAAAGTTGTAGGAATTTTTTTTGTGTGTTTGGAACATCTTGAATCTCTGAAATCGAATCTCACACGAGAGAGATACAATCAAAATACTCAGCTCTGCTAGAATTGTCCTTTATGCGATTTTTTCTAGATGAACATGATGTTTTAAAAAACAACAGGGACGATTATAGTCCTACAGCGGTTTTTGCAATATCCATCCCCGCCCTCTGAAAATCTACATCCCTGTAAATATCCCCGAATTTTATGAGTTGGTATCCCCATATATGCCCCGTAAAATCCCACGGGTAACCGCCCCGTAAAATCTCCGAATTATTTTTAAATTAAAAATACAATCTATTTATTTATAATTTCAAGACTTGGTTCAATTAACATACCAACGAAGTGCAAATTTAACTTCAAATCACAAAACTCAATAAATTATTTAGGGTTAGTAATATTTAATTATTTTATTATTTATACTTTTAATATAATTAATAATATATATAAATAATATCATACGAGGCTGGTCTATGGGTGGGGGTACCTACAAACCCATCCCCATTCCCATACCTGGTAAAAAAAAAAATCTCCATCCTCGCCCTTTATATTTTCGAATGGGGTAATACCTGATAATTTCGAAACATGGGGCATGGATCCATTGAGGCGGGTCAAACTACCATCCCCAAGTACAATCTTAACTTCTACTTACACAATCTTAGGAAAGGAATTTCCTAATACAAGGTTTGTTAATCATAAATCAAAACATAAGATAATCAAATATTAATAGGGTAAATTACAACCACTCCCTGAGGTATGGTCAAATTACGAAAACCCCCTTCTGTTTGAGTAATTACAACTACCCTCCTCAACTATAAATCTTCTTACACGTCCACCCTTGCGGTTTCAAATTTAGTGGAATCGTCGAGATTATATGGAATATCATCAATTTTGTACCTGTTTTATCTCATTCAATTTTTATTTTGAAGCAAGATGATCATAATATGTATTTTTTGGCTTGTATATCAGATTGTGGTGCATCAAAAACTATAATTTTACACAAAACGAGTACAAACTAGAGTACATTCCACGAAATCTAGATGATTATGTTGAATTTGACACCATAAGGGGGGAGGTGTAAGAAAAAAATATAGTTAATGGATAGATGCAATTATCCAAATAAGAGGGGGTTTTTCGTAAATTAACCATACCTCAGGGGTGGTTGTAATTTACCCCAATATTAATATTACATTATTATAGACGGTGTAGTCCTATCAAATTCAACCAAATCATATCCTAGCATCTTCCATGATTTAAATAATCATTTCACCTACTTTTATGCTTTTGTATTAAAAACTTGAGTTGATTTCACATTGTTAGGGCATCTCCAACGGCACGATGTATACCTATAATTTACAATTTTTGCACAATTTGAACCCAAAATCACATCTCAAACAGCGAAATGAAAAAGGCGAAATTTAATCAATTTTAACTTTGCGTGTTCGAAATTGAGAAACCAAAATTACAATTTAACAAATTGTGTAAAAATAATGAATAATAAAAGTTCCACAACCCATACCTTTCAACCCCCAAATATGCAGTAATTCAACTCTAACTGTCAATATCAACTACCAATTTAATTTATCAACCGCCGCACCACTGTAAACAAATTACCATCAATCAACTCTATAAATTGTGGTATTTGGTTTCATCAAAAATCATCCTCAACTGAATTAAAAAAAAAAAAAAACATTGTATCTATAAGAATGTATAGAGGTAAACAAATTACATGTAATTTAACCCCATCATGGAAGATGGTAAAATTAGTTCTCTACCACCACTCTTCTATTGTGAATAATAAGTTCACTGTCGATCTCCAAATAATGAAGAATATGGCCGGTGGATGAGAGTCTCTATAATTTTTCCTTTTTTTTTTTTTTTTTTTTTTTTTTTATTTTTCCTTAACCCTGTCCTTTCTGCCTTTCTGCTTTTGGTTTTCTGCATTTTTTCTCTTGAGAATTTACAGGAAAATAATGAGAAAATGAGAAAACCCTTGAAGTACTATATGATATACATAAAGAAATATTCTAATTTACTTTTTTATTAAGAAATATTCAAATATTATTTTTCATTAATAATATTGTTATTTTGAATAACTTTTTAAATGGTCACTAAAATATCTTCGTTTGAATATGTGTGTTGAAATGTAGTTGTTAAAATTAATTCAAAACTAAAATGTTGTAAAATAATAAGTTATGACAATTGTGTAAAATATAAACAATGTTGTTGGAGACTTAGAGTGTGATGTTAAATGTGGTGTTACATGACACTATTCATCTCTTAAATTATAGATATAGTCAACCAATTTATAAACAACTGTTGGAGATGGCCTTAGTACTCTATTTTACCATTTTTACCATCTATTTTGTTTGTTTTTTTAGAGAGAGAAGATAATCAAATATTAATATGGTGTTTTTATGAATAAGTCTCTAACCAACCATCTTTGTTATTCTAGGTTCAGCGATTATATCTCTTTCGCCGATAAGCTCATCCCTTTAATATGTATTATGAAAAAGGCAAAATTAATGTATATGACAAAATTACCCTCAAACCTTTAAACCCAATTTCTAATTGTACCTTAATTTAACTTCAATTTAATCAATTTCGACCACAAAAATGCAATTTTGAATTTTTCTTTTTTTTAAACTTTTTTTTTCTGAATTTTTTTTTTGCCGACGGATTCCGCCGTTGAATTTTTTTTATTTTTTTATTTTTGTCTTCTTTTTTCGCCGGTCGCCGGCGTTGACTTTTAATTTTTTTTTTTTCCTAAAATTTTATTATCTAATAACGTAATGATGTAATTTTTTTTCCCTCAAATTTTACCGTCAACCACATCAATAATATTACTGTCTACTATTGTAATATTACTATAAACACAATAATAATATTGTGGTTGACGGTAGTATTACTGTCGTTAAAGTAATATTATTGTCAACCACATCAATATTAATTATTTTGACTTTTTATTATGTTTGTCTTTGTTGAATGGTCAACATATTAATATTACTATATTACACAATAATAGTGATTTTTTGTGTGTTAATATTAGTATGCTAGAGAGTAATATAGCAATATTATTGTGTAAAAATGTAGTATAATTAGTATTATTGTGATAAACTGTAATATAGTTAATATTATTGTGTTAACAATAATATAGTTAATATGACTGTCAACCACAACAATATTACCGTTTAAACGGACAAAAAGATGTTGAAGAAAAAAGAAATTCAAAAAAAAAAAAATAATCAACGCCACGAGACCACATCCGGTCAGCGGCGGCAGAAAGAAGAAAAAGAGAAGAAAAAATTTCGAAAAAGTCAACGCTGGAAACCGGTGGAAAAGCAGGAGAAGAAAAAAGTCAAACGGCGGTCAATGGCGGCGACGGATGAAATTGTACTCAAAATTGGGTTTTTGGGTCAAAATTGAATAATTTGTGAAATTTAAGGTTAAATTATATTAAATGATGAAATTGAAGTATATTAAAATGTGAGGGGGTATTTTAGTCTTTTACACCTCTAGATAATGTATGATTTCTTTTTATAAAATAGTTTTTTGTCTGGAGACTTTGGACCCCTTAATGAATAAGTATCTCATGATGAACTTATTCTTAATTTACCCTACTAATATTGTATTATTTTAGACAGTGTAACTCTATCAAATTCAATCAATTATAACCGAGCATCTTCCATGGTTTAAAACAATGTTTTTGATCTCCCATTATTTTCATCAAAGTTTATACTGATTCATGCATTTCTTTTTTTCCAAGACGTGCACAACAACCCAAAGCGACTAAATATTTTGGCACGTCAGAGTTACAATACTTAATTAGACACAGTAACTATCCATTCGTTTCTTTTTAAGTTATGTTTAAGGCAGATATACATAGATTTAGACATGTTCATGTTTCTGCTCGAGTCGGTTGCCCGCCCGGTTGGAATAATCCCTACTCTTAACCAACCCTTTAAACACACTGTTTGTGCAGGTTCTAGTATGTCGGTTAACAATTCCAGCCCGTTGGTTCCACAGTTCACATTTATATTATTAGTTTTATTTAGAAAGAAAATTACAATTTTTTTTAATTACAAATTTGAGCGGGAAACTGATGATTACACGGCTCGACCCGCCTGTTCGTTCCAAAATTGATGCTTGACAATTGATTCTTAATCTCGATCATTGATCTTCTAAGGTCAAACAATCACGACCATTGATTTAAAAAAAAAAATAGAAATCCGACAGTAACCAGCATTTTAGTTCAATATATATGGATCCTTAACGGCCGTTAGAGCATAGTTACGGTTACACGAACGAAACAAGAAAGCTTTTGATAATATCATTGTTATATGGGCATCATACACAATTTGAACGAAAACATCAACTCCGGAACGACCATATTATAACTATGGGTATTTGTGTCATTTCGACAACATTCATTCGAATCAACCAAACCAAACAATATATTGATCTCACCATCTCATTGGCAACATCTTCAACTCCATAAACCAAACATGAATTTGAAAATTATTAAATAGTAGAAACATTGTAATCCAACTTAGTTTATATAATCCGCCCAATCCCATCATAGAAACCAAAAGGGCCCTAAAAGAAATAAGTACCGAGACTAAAATATTCATCGAAGGAACAAAACCTGACCAAAATTTGGGCACCGAGTCGTACAAGTTACAAAAAAAAAAAAAAAAAAGAAAAAGAAAACAAAAGGCAACATTGGATGAATACACGACAAATCGTTTTAAACTCGGGCAAGCAAGCTAATGTAAATGCAAAAATTACTCTTCCATACGAGTGGCTTCTGCTTTGTCTTGGGAAACCTTGACCTTGAGTTTCGGTATTGTGAGTGAAGGATCTTCTAGAAGAGCAGCAGGTGCTTTGATCATGTGAATACTCTGATCCAGTTCTCTCACTCCCTCTTTCCTCAACTGCTCCTTCTTTCCCTTCATCCTGTACGTACATTTTCACACACACACAAACATTAATATATATACATATATTATATTAATATAAATTCAATTAAAGAATATATATATACAAAAGAAAGGATTAACAAACAACCTCTCCTTGTGGTGTCTGGCCTCACGGTCAACTCTGACTTTATCGATCTTCTTAATTGCCTTGAGAGTGTTCTCCGTCACATTCCTGTCGTATCTCTCAGGCCTATTCCTCTTCCTTTCAAACTCGAATGTTGCATCCTTCAAATATTAAAGCAGCGTTTTCAAGCAAACAATTATTACATCGACTTAGAAGAGAGAGAAAACATCAAGATAAGGCTACTGTATTGCATAGTATTTACCTGAGTCATGTCCTTTCCATGCAACCTTCTGTACGCCTTTGTCCATTTCACTTTACGAGGATTCCTCTTCATCTTGAAGTTTTTGTGGCATTTTGATCGACAAAATCTAAATACCTGCAAATTCAAATTGTAAAATAAGAATCAAACCGATGCAAGTATGAATTAAAATACTAAACGCAGCCATCCAAAGAAATTTTTTAAAAGGTTTAACTTTCACTGGATTCATCACTGAGTCTTTATTTTATTCTATTATAATGACAACAACCAATTTGAACAATGCAAATCTTCCTAGAAAACATCAACATTTGAATGAACAAAAAGCATGACAAAATCTAGTTCTGTCGTTTCTAAATATGAAGAAACTTCACTTGAAAGCAAGATTCAACTTTATGTAACAGTCTCCAATGAAACACACACATCATATTTGTTCACATCCTTGTTTACATAAAACCAAACCTAATCGGATATTCTTGATCTAATGAGCATTTGTATAAACTAAACATGCTCTGTATACAAATTTTAACAAAAAATAACAATTTTGTGCAAAATTTAAATAAAAATAGAACAGATAATATTATAAGGTCTCACCTTTGCATCATTACGAACAAACTGAATCCCGTGTCCCGGATATACAGTAGAAGAACAGAACCAGCACTTCTCCAATCTCATCTTTGCCCTGTACTACACCAAAAACCAATTAATATTCCGTTCCCTGGTATTTTAATTATTTAATTATTAAAATAATCCGGAAAAAAAAAATCAAAAAAAAAAAAAGAGATGAAACATGCGCACAAAATAAAACGGAATGAATGTATTAGGAAGACATGTACCTACAATACCAGTGAACGAAAAGAGGCGTTCGAAACCCTAATTTCTAATTTAGTAATTGGTGTCGGGGAATTTTACGCCCTTATTACATAACAAAAATCTAAATAAAATGATAATATTTTAGAGTTCACAACTAACAATTCAAGAGGAAACTGATTAACAATGTAGCAGCCGCAAAATAGCTTCATTCAAATGCGACAAAAAAAAGAATGTTGACTTCAATCATAAGCAGCTCAATCAAGATCAGTAGCAAACCCTAAAAAAAGAAGTTCTTCGTCCGGGCATATGATTACAAGTAAGAAATGGGAGAAATTTGAAATTAAACACTTAAATCATAAAACCCAACGAAAATACAGAAATAAAACTGGAAAGACGGAAGAATCAGAGGCGAAATCCGGCGAAAGCATACCTGTAGTTAGGCAAGAAAGAGAGGAACTGTTTGGAGATGGCAGGATTAGGGTTGCGTCGGAACTTCTACGAAATCGGCGTCGTTTTGGTGAAGAAACCAAAACGCGCAGAATGGAAGAGAGAGAGAGAGAGAGAGAGAGATGAGGCGGCAAGTGATTCCTAGGGTTGGGGTTTTTTGTTATTATTTTTTCTATTTTATTTTCATTATTTTTTTATTTGACGTTTATAGATTTGGCATTTAAAGGGTTTGTAGATAGTGTGTAAAATGCAATTAGGTCCATAAAATTAAGGCCTACATTTGTTTTATACTTTACACGTCTATAGAGTATAGCTTATGTAACATTTATCTCTTAAAAAGTATTATTTGTAACACTTATTTTCTCAACTTTAAATATTTTATATTTTAAAATTAAAATATAATAAACATAACAATCTAATAATTATTGGATCATAAAAATTAAAAAGTAACTAAAATTAAATTATTGAAAAAAAATAATAAATAAAAATATACTTTAAGAAATTAAGAAACTAAAATAAATTTAAATACTTAATCATTTTCAAATGATATCCACATTGTTCACAAATATTTACGTTTGATTTCAAACATTTCTTATAATTGAATCAATAACAATTTTCGCACTGAACCCACAAATGCCTGTATTTTTTAGTTGCATCGAGATCATTAGGCCTTTCTCTTAGAGTTAAATTACTACTCTTCGCGGGGGTTTGTATACTGGACCTCCCGGTTTCAGTACTAGTTCTACGTTTATCAAAAAATTACAATTATTTATGTATTGATTTCTTAAAATTTATCGATAGGAATATGTTGTTAATTGTTCCAATAATAATTAGATGTTATTTATTAAATATATACCCAACAGTACAAGATAATATTTTTAAATTTTAAAATATTGTATTTTTCAACAGATATATTTAGTTGTATAATTTAATTATTCTTTTAGTTATTATTTTAAATAAACAAAATTAATATTTTAACGTATTATGATTTAAAATACAAATTGAATTGAGCTATCTTGAGGAGGTAAGTATTACAGAGGGTATATATTAGGGGTATAAATTGTATTTAACCATTTATTTTATTAAATTACGTAACTTAATTTTGTATATTATATATTGGCGGTGTTAAATCCTGCACTGAAAATTACTAAATCCCGCACATAAAAACAAAATCTCTCTCGACTCCATATTTTTCCTGACTTCTATCTTGGGTTTCAAAATACTCAAAAATCGTCAAAATTCGTTTTCCGTTACGTAATAATCATAACATAATCAATTCAATATCTTCTAATGATGATACTCTTCAACTGGATGTAAGATTTCAATTTTTTTTGCCGAAAATTTGTCAAGTTTACGGCAACTATGGTGGGAGCAAAATTGGTACGAGAGCAGACAACCTAGAAGCGAATGAACCGCACATCGCGTCCATGTTGGCCGCGTAATAAACTGCATTCGCGTGTCTTTGTTGCGTCTGCCTCCTACTTTAGACGCAAACATTTTTTAAATTAATTTTTTTTCTATTTTATTTATAAGAAAAAAAATTAAACATATATTGACAAATATTTTTATTTATTAAATAATTAGCAATATCCAAATAATAATTAAACATTTATTAATGTTTTAAAGAATTATTAACAATTATTAATTAATATTAACTACATAATTTAAACATTATTAAATATTATTAAACATTTATACAACATTATTATACATTTATTAAATGTAAAAAAACAATTATTATATTTGAATTAAAAAATCTACAAACTCGTGTCCAAACATGATAATCCCATTTGCGTCCACCGCATGGTCGTCTTCTTTCTTTCACTCGCATCCGCCATGGACGCATGCCAGCACCAGCTGGTGGCCATTGGGCGTGCACACTCCTTCACTTGTGGTCACCATGGCTGCCACCTACATGAGTCGGTGTTCACGATTTCCACAGTTTTTTCCCGATAAATTACAAAAAAAAAACACCAAGTCAATTACAATTCATCCAATATATGAAATTAATGATACAAATTAACAAAAGATAGAACATCAATTTGATTGTCCTTCAAGTTTATGAAGATTCTGAGTAAAAAAATAATTTCGAAAGTTTTAGAATTTTGAAGTGTGGGATATTGTAAAAGATGAGCGAATGGTGGAAAAGAATGAGGAAAGGGAAATGATTGTAATTTTAGGAAGATAAAATTACTAAGTTGTGAGCATTCAGTATGGGGTTATCTAGGGTCCGAGAGGGGTTGTACTACTCAAATCCAAACGATTGAAGATCAACCAATAAAAATGTGACACGTATGATTTGTATGAACCTCATACAAAAATACCATACCTGCCTTATAAGTGAATTACATAAAAACCCCTATAACTAAAACCTAAGTAACAATTAGGGATGATTAATAATTAAGATATTTACAACTTAATTTTCAATATTGTGTCTTCTCTAATTTTTACTGTTGAACACTCAAAATATTTTTTTCTTCTTCCTTTTCAATTGGGATAATTACAGTTTTGGTCTCCCAAATTTGTACGTTTATCACTTCTGGTCCCCTATTTACTGTCGTTAACAAAATACACATTAATATTTCCGGAGCAGCACATGTGCGACCCACACGTGGGAATAGAGGGGCAAATTCGCCACAATGTTTTTAGAAAAAAGAAAAAAAATATCTTCTTCTTCATCGTCGTCTTCTCTCCCTCTTGGTAGCCGAACAGGGGACGGGAGGTTTGTGACAATCTACGCAAAACACAATTATAGAAATCACAGACACAACCTTATATATCATTCCACACACACAACACACAGAGGGGGAAGAAAATTAAAGAGTCCTGAGTCATAACTCAAAAGTAATTGACAGAGCACGAGTTCTTTAAGGGGGCGTGATTGAGCATCTTAAATTTGATGTGGGGCCTTTCGAGCAGACAGAATGTTGTTGCCCTTGTGCACCCCACCTCTACCGCCGCTGTCGCCGACATTCTTTTTCGGAGAAAAAGAATGAAGACCAAGACTCTTATTTCTCCAGCTGCAAATCTTACAAATCAAACGGGTTCAATTCATCTGACCCTAAAATACCATTCATTTGTTTCCCATCTCAATCAATAATCATAAAGCACAGCCCAAATAAGATCGCCATTTTCTCCATAACTTTTTTGTTTCTGTATTTGTCATTGTTCTCTCAATAGCCTTCGTTGTTTTCCAGTCAAGAAGGAAAACCCTAATGAACTGCAGAGGAAAACCCCACCATCATCTTACTCCCGCCGGAGTCCACCTACGAGGAGCTCGACTCATCCACCAACCATTTCAACTCTAAACGCAAAATCGACGATGGAGTCATTGATGTGGAGGGGAGGGGCGCGCGGAATGAATTCATGTGTGCGGTTGTTGTGGTGGTGCAGTGGCGGAGCAGAGGGTGGGGGTGGTCTCTGATTTGTGAAAGGTGTTAACCTCCCCTGTTCCGCTGCCGAGAGAGAGAGGATGCAGACCAATTTTGTTTTCTTTTATGTATTATCTTTTTTCTTCTTTTCTCGTTTTTTTTTTATACTAAAAACCTTGTGAATTGGCGAATTTTTCCATCCATTCTCACGTGTGAGTCGCACATGTGCAATTTCGGTAGCTTTTCTCTTTTTTTTTGGGTAAAAAATAGACTTTTTAGTTGTCGGTGCAACAAATTAATAAGTTCAAGTATGATCTTGCAATTTTTTTTTATTTGGGGGGCAAAGCGCAAAAACGACTAAAGTAAGGGGCAAACTGCACTCAATCCTTCTTTTAATTCTCTGATTTAATTATCTAAGATTAATAAAGTAATTTTACATGAAGTACGATCTGTGTACGATCTATTTTTACTGGGTTCGTACTTTAATTTATAAATTCATAGGTTTGTACTGGATCGTACTAGTTCGTACTTTAAATCAACGACTATATTTTTTTACTAAATCTTTTCTACGCATCAGATTAAATCGTTTAGGTCCGAGTAGTACAACCCCTCCCCTTCAGTAATTTTATAGCAGGATTTAGCATTTCAATTATAAATTATATGTAATATTTAGGATTTTTTTTTCATCAATAAGCACCTCAAAATCGCTAAAAATGGAACTAAGTCCACCCCTAAATTCATCAATTGCGATACTCATAAATTTTTTTATTTCAATAATACCGTCACTTAATTAATCAACATTAACATTATTTGGATTGCATTAATTACTTTCGATTTTTTTAAATATGTTTTATAAATTAATTTAAAAAAACATTTGAATTGTTTTCGATAAGTTTACTAGGTCGAATATGACTACCGTCAAATGTGACTATCGTCGAATATTACTATGGTAGAATTTGACTATATTTGACTATAATTATGATACAAACCCCCGAACAACTTGTTACAATACCCAAATACCTTATACGGAAGCCGGATCGAATCATCCAAAAGAAAGGAATTAAAGGGCTGGAACCGCGACCCGTTGCCTATAATAAGACAAGAACCTTAGTATGTGAAGACGCTACAATCAATTGTGAAAGATTGATTGATAAGTCGGGGTGAACGCACAGAATGCTCCGATATGTTTGAAAAGTTCTTAAAGAACTAAAGAGAATAATCTCAATTTATTAATCAAAATTCATCCATTTTCCTTTTCTTCCAATTCCTAACCATGCCATCTTACGCATTTGATTCAAGCCTTTCTTCTCCAAGGACAACTCGAATACCCTCTTCAAACTCGTACGCTTGCGCTTCTTCCAATTCTTCATCTTTGAACTTTCTAGGATCCTATCATACTCCCCATCGTCAAAAGGATTCGTCTTCGAATCCGGACAAATATCAAAAGGAATATAAATAAAATCTACCTTATGATCGATCTCTCTCTTTGGCAGCAAACTAGCACATGTCTAAAACTCAATGACATCCCTCCAAGTGCGATCTTGTTCATCGTTTGGTTAAGCCAAGACAAAAGTCAATTTCACGATCACCGTCATATCATCAACATGCACAATGTGAGATTGCACTTTGTTTGGCTCGTCCTTAACTTCGATGCATGGCTGGATCATATCATTACTGATATGAACCCCGTAGAACTTGTTACGAGATCCAAATACCTCATGCGGAAGAATGATTGAAACATCCAAAAACAAAGGAATCAAAGGATTGGATCCGCGACCC